AGAGCACAGAGAGCTGCAGCTCTTCCTTGTAAAAGCTCCTTAAAAATCATCCTCTTCTGGCTGTGACCATTTTCAGTTTTCCTTTAGTACAATGTGTTTGAGAGGGGGAAAAACAGTTTGGCATTGGAAGAAGAAGGCTTGAAGAGATACAAGGAAATTCCATGTTAGGAAATCATTAGCAAAGGGTGACTTTGCCTGTTTTCCTGCCACTGATGCTGATAGTGACACAGACGTGTGGGTTGAAACAGGAATGTCACTGAATGTTTAAATTCAACCAGGAAATAGCTTATTGCTGGGGTGGGTGTGGGGGCTATACATTCACTGCATCTTAAGGTAAGGGATTTACCATTGTCATTTATATTCATTAGGTAAGGGGGAATTTTCAAGCTTGGCCAGCAAGTTTAATACCATTAAAAAATATATTTTAAGCTGGTCACCTAATGGCTTAAGTGCACCTGTTTAGTAGCTCACCCTTAGGAAACTCAAGCACTGCTTAGGCTTATGAAATGGGCAGAAACTGATCTTAGACAAGTGGTTTTTTCAGACAGTAGTTTGACTACTCTCCTTTAAAGGGGCTTCCTATATGTGGTAAAGCTTTTTTATTTTTTATTTTTTTAAGATTCTGAGGTTTTTTTTCCCCCGTAGTGGTGCATTGGAGAGATAATTAGTAGAGGAACTGAGACACTTGTGTTCTGGAGCACTCTCCCCACTAACTAGCAGAATGATTTTGGGCAAATCCATCCTACCCCCTTGTTTCTCCCTCTTCCCTTCATAACCTGGAAGTCTGAGTCTCTTCCAGCTTTAACACACTGTGATGTGTGAATGAAATAGTCATTTTTCTGGTAAAGTGAAACACCATTGGGGAAAATAGCTAGATATAAAGAAATGGGTCTGAGATTTTTTAAAATATATTTTTATTGATTTCAGAGAGGAAGGGAGAGGGAGAGAGAGAGATAGAAACATCAATGATGAGAGAGAATCGTTGATCAGCTGCCTCCTGCACGCCCTACACTGGGGATGAGCCTGCAACCTGGGCATATGCCCTGACTGGGAATCGAACCATGACCTCCTGGTTCATAGATCTACGCTCAACCACTGAGCCATGCCAGCCAGCCATGGATCTGAGATTTTTGAGGGGCAGCAAGAAGAGAGTGGTATAAAAACTGGCAGAAGGCCAAGCAAAACAATGTACAAATGTAGTTGGTGTG